CTGTAGTACACTGATTCCTCTTTGTCCTTTATTCTCAATGTCAACCTATTCATTTCTGCACAATCTAATATCTTCTTTATTATCTCTCCTTCTGAAGGGGTTTTGTATTTGTCCAATTTTGTGCAAATGCAAATCTAGCTGCTGTTATTATTTGTACAATCAGATATGAGTCTTCTTTAGTATATTTCTCTGGTAGAATACCCAATAAGAATCGTGACCCGACAATTGCATGATAGACATATGCGTGCCGACAAAATAGCGCCGATTAAAACACGACGTCAAAATCACGACGACAAATTCACGACAATAAAATTGCAATGACAAAACGCGATGACAAGCACAATAAAATTGAAAAATTTTTAGGGTTAGGGTTAGGGTTAAGGTTATAACGTATGTATACGCGTCCCACTATGTTACAGGCCCAGCACATTGTCTATAGTTTCTTGATGACGCGATTTTGTCGGCACGCATTTGTCGGCACGCTATTGTCGAAAATCAATTAGCGATTGATTTTGACGGCGCTCATTTGTCCATCGCGGTTTTGTCTGTGAACCAATAAGAATATCTCTGGCTTAAATTTTATGGGCTGATGTATCATTTTCTCTAACCATGATTGTATATTCACCCAATAGCTTTTTGCGTCTCTACATGTCCACCACATATGATAATATGTTCCTGGTAGTTGGTGACATTTCCAACATTTAGTTGATTTATTCTTAAACCTTTTTTTGCTAATCTTTCCGGTGTCATGTGCCATCTATAAAACATTTTATATAAATTCTCTTTGTATGCTGTTGCCATTGTCATTTTATAGTTCCTATAGTTGAAAAAGTTTATGTCCAAGATGTGAGGGGAAATTTAGCTGGAAAAGAGAACACTAAAAGGTTAAGAAAAGGACAGCCCTCGCCCTCCTCCTTATATTCTTAAACTGACCTGCCCCCCCCCAAGGAAAAAGGTGGTGTGGGAAATAAGAAAACAGGGTGTTAAAACAGGATCCTAATCCCTCTTTCATACAGGTGGTCCTCGACTTACAATCATTTTTTTAGTGACATTGGAAGTTACAATGGCACTGAGAAAAAAATGACCATTTTTTCACACTTATGATGCTTGTTGCCACATCACCTGTGGTCCCATGATGGAAATTCGGTCTCTTGGCAACTACCATGTCCTGGGAGGTCATGTCATCCTCAGCGGCTTTTGGCAAGCAAAGTCAGTGGGGAAACCAGATTCACTTAACAACCGTGTTACTAGCTTAACCCTTGCAGTGATCCCCTCGACGACAGCGGCAGGATAGGTCGTAAGATGGGGCAAAACTCACTTAAACAGTCATCCAGGTCATGTTTGTCCCAAAAGGTCCCTTTTCAAAAGGCAACTGGACTTCGTGATTTGTTTGTTTGGCTTGAAAATGTTTTGCTTCTCCTCCAAGTAGCTTCCTCAGTTCTGCTTAGCAACAGACATTTTGGACTCGTTTGTGGTCCTAAGTCGAGGTAATTTGTCATCCTCCTTCCTTGTTGACAGTGCCTTGCCAATCTAGCCTCAAATGTACCGTACAGCCGCTTGAAGCCTGGTCTGCTATCAAGAGTATGGAACCAGATAAAGCCGTACATTAAACATAAAGGTATGGAGTTATTTTACATTATCCTTTGTGCAGCCGTTCTGTTACTGGTATTATTTGCAGTAAAACGTATTGTCCCAATTGGTTGTTTTGGATGAAGCAATGTTGTGTGTGGCAGTTACAGAAGCATCAGATGGCAGGTAAAGGTAAAGGTTCCCCTTGCACCAGGGGTGGGTTTCAACCGGTTCGCGGCGGTCCCGTGAACCGGTTGGTCGGCGAACTCGGAAGTAAGTAACTTCCGGGAACGGCGAAGGGCCCGCCCGCCCGTGTTCCTTACCCGGATTTGACGGGTTCTGCGCTTCCACGCATGCGCAGGACGCATACAGCGCCTGCGCGATCTTCCAGGAGCAGCTGGAGCATCGCACAGATGCTAGTACGGATGCGTGCGCTGCGCGTGCACGAGGACACCGCCGGCCCCGTTCCAACCGAACCAGTTGGAACGGGGCGAGAAACCCACCCCTGCCTTGCACGTATGTGCCAGTTCAGTGATGGCGAACCTTTTTGTAAAGGCGTGTCAAAATTGTGTGTGTGCATGCTATTGTTCACACACGGATGCCCACACACACGCATGCCCCCGTGGAATCATTTCCAAACTTCCGGTTGGTCTGTTGGACCCATTTTTTGCCCTCCCCAGGCTCCGGAGGCTTTCCTGGGAAGGCGAAAATGTCCCCCTCCCGCTCTTCTGAAGGTTGAAAAATCAGCTGTCCGGCACACGCAGGTATGCTGGAACCGACGGCTCGCGTGCCACCAAATATGGCTCCGAGTGCCACCTGTGGCATGCGTGCCATAGGTTCGCCATCACAGTACTAGTGATTCCCGACTCTGTTTTTAGAAGTTTTGCTTGTGAATTATTTTTTACTCAGATCACAAGTTTTGTTCTTTTTAAAAGACACAGGAATATGCCAGCACATAATCTAGGCGCCTTTTTTGGTCTCTACAGAAGTTATTGTCAAATTGGTTAGATCTCGTATATGCGGTTGTCAGCCATCCATGCAAATTTTGTGTGGATGTGGGAACTCCCGTGTAATATTAATAATTTGTGTAAAGCCCCGTTCAGCTGCCCTGCTGATCAGATTTACTGTTTGCTTCATATTTGCTTTTGCTGGACTTCATCTCTGATTATGGTACCAAGTAACCGTTTTGCCGAGTTGGTGCAGTAGTTCCCATCTTCTGAAGTGCTTACTGTTTCTTTTCCCAGCCCCATTCCAATTGCTGCATCCTTTCCTCAAGTAGTTCAGGCGATAGGCTTGGATTTCCACACAGTTCTCTGACATTGGGCAGCATAACCAATCCATAGCCGTTGCTCCTTTCCTCCCGAATCTAATGCATCAGGGTGCCATCTTTCTTTGGCTTAGAATAGCTGCTCCTCTTCTGACCCAGCTCCCCAAACATGACAAACATGAACTCAAAGATTACTTTAATTAGGAGTGTCGGTAACCCAGCGAAAAAGTTTCTCTCTCACTGCAGGCTAACAAGTCCGTCCGTCCGCAAAATGAACACCGTATTTTTGGAGTATAAGACACACTTTTCCCCCTCAAAAAAGAGGCTGAAAAATTGGGTGCGCCTTATACAATGAATACAGCACTTTTTTTGCCTCTAGAAACTCCACCCCTTCACCAAAATGACCGTGCAGAGCCTTTAGGAGGCTTATAGAATGCTCCTGGGGGCTGGGGAGGGCAAAAATAAGCAAAAAACATGTCATTTTTTGCTCAATTTTGCCCCCCCCCCCAGCACCCCGTAGCACTTTATAAGCCTCCGAAAGGCTATTTTTTTGACAAAAATGGGCCCATTTTCATGAAATACAAGCTGTTTTTTGCTCATGGGAGGGCACTCCCCAGGAGCACTCTACAAGCCTCATAAAGGCGATGCTTGGCCTTTTTTGAAAAAAAGAGCCCATTTTAGCAAAAAATGGGCCATTTTGGGGAGGTTTTTTTTAATTTGCCTCTTCAAAATCTTGGTGCGTCTCATACTCCAGTGCGTCTTATACTCCGAAAAATGCGGTAATTGCCTGCCATATCTATTCATCTCCATTCCCTGCCTTTTATCCCCAGAACTGGGGGGTGGGGGTGGGGGGCTTCACTAGCAGCAGTGGCCCTTCCTTCCCAAGGATCAGCCCACAGATTTCCACTGCTCTCCTCTCCTCTGCCTTCTGTGCATCTGGAGTCAGGCACTGGAGTTAGCTGTTCCTCCTCTTCCTCATCAGCCACCTCCTGACCTGGGAGCTGTTGACTCTCCATCTGAGGGCTGATGGACGGCCCAGGCTCCACCTCTGTCTCTCTCTCTCTGCCAGCTCCATTCCCTCTTCTCCCTGCTCTCACATTGCCTTGATGCTGACCATGACTCCTCCCCCCTCCTCCTCCTCCTCTGATTTGGCTGCTGGAGGGGATGGTGGCCGATAGGTCACAACAACTCCATGTGTGCTCTCTGTGTTTTTTTTCCTTCCCAGATGTTAACGTTCGAGTGTCAAGTCTCACTTTACTGGGTTCCATCGTGTCGGCTCAAGCCCCTTTGCCAGAAGTGCGTCTCCTTTTGCAGCAGCCTACCTCTTTGGGGATGAGCGACGGCACACCCAGCCTGCCGCTGCGTTCCGGTGCACCTGAATGGCGTAGAGAACCCGTTCTGGTCTCAGGAGAACCATTGCTTGCCCTGGAGAAGACACCAACTGAGCCCTGTTGGCTCCTGCGTCTCTGCATCTCTCTTGCTGTGTTGCCCCGAGAAGATTGCTATTCGGATAGTGACACCAGCTGCCCGTCAACGGTTAGCACCTATGAACCCTCGCCAGTTCGCCTGGAGGCACTGCAGGTAGGTGGATAAAGTTGGTTGCTGATAGAATTGCCGTCGTAACTTCAAACAGTTGTAAGTCAAGTCAAGGGCTACCTCTGGGGAACCAGGGAACATGTCTTTCTAGATCAGGGGTGTCAAATTCAAGGCCCGGGGGCCTGATCTTGCCCGCCGGGTGCTTAGATCTGGCCCGCGGGGCCGCCCTGGAGACAGCAAAGGACCCGCGGTGCCTCTGCCAGGGAAAACGGAGCTCTGTTTTAGCTGGCAGAGGGTTGTAGGAGCCTGTCGCAGCCGAAAATGGAGCTCGGAAGGGCTCTGGGTGGCCAGAGGGTTGCAGGAAGCCATCACAATCTAAAATGGAGCTTGGGAGCCCATTTTCGCTGGCCACCACACGTGCCTCCCCCCCCAACATACGTGATGTTGAGCTGGCCACGCTCACTCTAGCCACACCCACCCAGGCAGGGGTGGGTTTCTCGCCCCATTCCAACCAGTTCGGTTGGAACGGGGCCGGCGGTGTCCTCGTGCACGCGCGCGGCGCACG